GAGACAGATAGGTTTTGAACCTTTCAAAGTTCGAGGTCGAATTGACAGTTGAAATAGTACCAAACTCCAAGCTGAAATGTGCAACTAAATCGTGTATATTTTTGTCAATTTTGTTCGCTGGCCTTTGTTAAATTCACTTGCAATGGCTCGACATAAGTTACAACATACAAACTGAGCAGAGCCCATGAAAGAGCTATCCATAGTCCATACCCATACAGTCATTCAGCTTCCTTGCTATTTAGAAATTGTTGCCCATTAGTTGAAGAAGAATTGCTATTGTATGCGCTTGTTTGCACTTCCTTTCCTGAAAAAAGTCTACAATATTAAGGCTAAATAGCAGAAAAATATGACCCAATAATCCATGCAATTAAAAATATCTATCAAATTAACTTCAAAAATCATGATTTGAGGAATTATATCTATTCAGGCAATCAACCCATAATTTAGTGACAGATCTTGGGATTGGTGTACTACAAAACTATATTGACTGAAGTTTTGGAAAAATTTAGCCAACTTTTGAAGGATTTTATTAGGTCCAGTTCACATGAGACTGGAACAAAGTCAATTAACCGGGACCATTTCGTTTTGGTCATTATATTATATATAATAGATGTTTACATGAGGTCTCAAGTCATTCCACCTGCTGGACCAAGCCGACTGACTCAGACCAGTATGAATTCAGACTGGAATGAATGTTGACATTGGAACAAGTGAACAACACATGCCAACAAAAGTCATCTAAAAAAGAAAATTGCCTGGCAAGGGGAATAAATTGAAAATTTTGTGATTTTCATACTGGTCTCATGTAAACATGTAAACATGTTGACATGCAATTTCAATTTTCATTCCAGGTTGGTTTCATCCTGGTCCCATGTAAATGGGGCCTTACAAACTGTGATTCAGTATCATGGGATGAGATTAGGGGCCTGTTTTTTTAGGAACGGCCTACTTTTTTTAGGAAAGTAAGTGCAAACAAGCGCATACAATAGCAATTCTTCTTCAACTATAATGGGCAACAATTTCTAAATAGCAAGGAAGCTGAATGACTGTATGGGTATGGACTATGGATAGCTCTTTCATGGGCTCTGCTCAGTTTGTATGTTGTAACTTATGTCGAGCCATTGCAAGTGAATTTAACAAAGCCCGCGAACAATATTGACAAAAATATACACGATTTAGTTGCACATTTCAGCTTGGAGTTTGGTACTATTTCAACTGTCAATTCGACCTCGAACTTTGAAAGGTTCAAAACCTATCTGTCTCATGTTTGCTCACTCTATAATTTTGTATACGCAAAGGTTTTCATCATAACGTAATAACAAATTATAATTTAGGTTTTGGAAATCATTGGGTTTTTATCAGGAAGCAGTGCGCGCTAACACTCTCGGACAACATTTCGACGGCCATTTTTAACCACCAAATTAAACAGAGTATATAAATAAAATAACACCCGAAATAAAGTTTTTTGTTACTTAAATCTTATCTTTCAGTTTCTTATAATAGCTGAAAGTAACAAAAACATATAAATTTTACACAAGTAATATTTTATAAAGCAATAGTTTCAGCATACCTTCTGATGGGTCATATACCTATACCGATTCTAACTATACCGCAACAGGATCATTGAATCAGAACTTCTGTGATGTATTAGACGACTACTTCATGTCCCAACTTTGTTCGGTTCCCACTAGAGAGTCGAACATTCTGGATTTACTAATTACCAACCAACCAGAACACATAACATTAACGGCCGTCCACCCTCCAGCCGAGTTAGGAATGAATTCTGATCATAATATCATACACTTCCAAATCTCCACCTCATCAAGTATTGTCCCCCCAAACAAACGTTTGATTTACGATTACCGACGAGCAAACTTTGACGGTTTACGAAAAAAACTAATCGATATGGACCTTTGCACTCTGTTAACAAACAATGGGACGGAATGCAGTATTGATGACGACTGGTTCACCTGGAAGAAAGCTATCTTGTCAGCTATGAATGAATTTATCCCTACCAAACACGTAGACCCCCATCGCACACCTCCTTGGATAACATCAACCATACTGCATCAAATTCGTAAAAAGGTAACAGCCCGAAAGAGATTTCTAAGCCGAGGGACTGAATATCTCAAGGCGAAATTCAACCAGCTAAGAACTGACGTTAAAAAATTAATTAAAGAAAGCAGAAAGTTGTTTTTCTCATCCTTAGGAAACACCCTCCGAATCAATCCAAAACGTTTCTGGTCTGTCTTTAAAATCAACTCGAACACCGGAACTATCCCTAAGTCAGTCTCAAGGACAAATTCCAACATTCCGGTGACTAGATTACATGCAAACACGCCTCGCGATATTGCAACAATGTTCAATGAATATTTCCATTCTATCTACACCAACTTTCCGGGGCAATCTTCATCACCCCGGCCTGATTCCTCACCTCCTCTATCCAGTATATCATCCATTGACCTCTCTATAGAAGAAGTATACCTAGCCTTACAGAACTTAGATCCCTTCAAGGCTCATGGTCCTGATGGTTTTCCTTCTCGTGTTTTAAAGGAATGTGCATTTCAACTTGCTCCTTCTCTACACTACCTGTTCACAAAGTCCCTCCGCTTATCACAGATTCCCACCGAATGGAAGCTAGCCAACATCATCCCTCTACACAAGAAAGGTGTAAAAGAACACGTGGAAAATTACCGACCCATTTCTTTGTTAAGCATTGTCAGCAAGACTCTTGAACGCTGTGTCCTAAACCACCTATATCTACGCATACAGGAAAGCGTTCACTCAGCACAATATGGATTCATTAGTGGAAGGTCTACCACATCTCAATTACTATCGACACTACACAAAATAGGGAAGGACTTAGATAAAGGACTACAAACAGACGTTGTCTTCATGGACATTTCCAAGGCTTTCGATACCGTTGACCACTCCAAACTGTTACAAAAACTTCGCGATTTCGGTCTATCTGGCTCTCTTTTGTTGTGGTTTGAAAACTATCTATCAGGTCGCTGTCAACGAGTAACTGTTCACGGTGCGACATCTACTTCCTTACCAATAACATCCGGAGTCCCACAAGGTTCATTGCTGGCTCCCTTCCTCTTCTCGGTGTACATTAACGATTTGCCCGATAACATATCCATTGCTACTGGGGTCGGTTTGTATGCTGATGATACCAAACTGCACAGATGTGTGCAAAATCGTAACGATGCACTGGCATTGCAATCGGATATTCAAAGCCTCCATTGTTGGTCAAATGAGAACATGTTGAGCTTTAACAAATCGAAGTGTAAAGTGTTGTCTATCACAAGAAGGAAGTCTCCCTTAATTTACGCATATGCACTTGGCGATCACCAACTATTGTCTTCTGATGTAGAGTCCGATCTGGGCATTACGATCAGTTCGAAACTATTATGGAATGTTCAGATCAACAAAGTTCGGTCAAAAGCCAACAAAACGCTCGGGTTAATCCGACGTTTTACCATGGAGATAACGGATACCAACGCGAGAAGGCTTCTGTACCTTCAACTTGTGCGAAGTAACTTCTCCTATGCAACCCAAGCCTGGTGTCCTCAGTCAGTGAAACTTATTGAGGACGTTGAGAAAGTGCAGAGACGAGCAACTAAATACATATTGAATCTTGGGTTTATCACAGACATTTCTTACAAGACAAGACTCCTTCAGCTTGACATATTACCTGTCTCATATTGGCACGAATACTTGGATCTGGTGTTCCTCTACAAGATCATCAACAGTCTTACGTACATTGACGAACGTGTTCTACCGATCATGGCTGGATCAGGAATTACAAGAAGTGAATCCAACGCAAACCTAATTAGATTTGTTATTCCTTATGCGAAAACCGTAACATTCCAGACCTCATTTTTTATAAGAATTACTTGCAAAACGTGGAACATATTAGATAGTAACTTGCGTACTAGAGATATAGGTTTGCTGTCTTTTAAATCAGGTCTTAAACTCTACTACAAACATGCACTATCCAAAACATTCAAATGTGACGATCCGCGCACCTGGAAATCAGTGTGTGTAAAGTGCAAAAGAGCAAGATCGCTTAACAATGAAATAAGCTGTTGTTAGCCTTATTAGTTTTAGCTTGTTGAGTTGCTTGAAAATTTGTTTTGTACAGTAATTTTATTCTTGTTTATATGGGATCGCCGTAATTGGGGAAACCTGTGGCGAATTCCCTGGCTCTATATGTTGTATTTAAATAGCAGCCGAATCTTATTAAATTAAATAAATTAAATTAAATTAAATTAAATTAAATTTTGAATTTTTCAAGGTATCGGGTTTTAGTACGTTTTACTCGCACTTGCGAACATTGCGCAATAATTGGCCAATAAGAAGCTCCTGTTGGCCGGTATGACGTCAAACTCACGCGTGTAGGTGCAATTTGACCTTGCGAATCCATTTCTGGCCTTTCCAGGGTCATATGATACAAACGTCGCATTGTTTTGACAATTTTCAGACGTATTTCCGGTTGGGATTAACTCACTTCGAGCTCACAGTCGGACAAGAAATGGAAATATATTGATAAAAGATACAGATTTGAAGATACAGGCTTGCAAATAACACTCTAAATAGTGTTTTTGATGGGGATTCGAACAAGACTATTACAAAGACGATATGTGCGAAGGGGCCGAAGTTATTTTCAGCGAAATGTATGGCTAGTCTATATTTTGTTCAGACAATTGCGTAATTTGATACAATATTATCGTGTTTGACTTTCAAAGGCCCATAAATCGTTACAATGTTAATAATGACTATAACTATCGTTTGGAACTAGTCTATCTTTTATTTCTGAATCGATTGGTGGTATTTCTGTCTTCATAGCATGCACTGAACTGAAGGTATGAAATTTTATAGCCGTCGATCGCTCAGGATCGACGCGATATGGCCTGTGGCGAGAAATTAAGGCTTAATAGAGTAAAGTTGTGATTTACGGCTTTATCTTGACATGATATATTTTACAGAAAAACTAATTGGAGAACATGTCTTAGACTTTTAGCGTACTGTCTGGCATGATAAATAGTTAATTTTGGTTGACAGTTTAATATCAATTCAATGCATTTTTCTGGTGGCCATGTAAAGGCAATAATTTTAGCAAGCCACCTAAAAACAAAACTTTCCACCTACCTTACAGTGACAGATTCAGTGACTTTGCCACTTGTAACAGAGATTCCAACAACCGCATTACCACTTTCTGATGCATTGTAAATAGGTTGAGTGAACTTGATCACTGGAGGAGGTGGAACTAATTAAGAAATAAAAAGCTAGTAAAGAAGAAGTTGTACGCAACAAAACGAACAAACAGCAACAGGAAAAAACCCAACTTGAACAAAAAACAAAAGAACAAGAGCAAGAAAAATTCCAATAATTTATGCAATAACCAGCGAATACGTAGGAAAATATATTCATTACAACAATGCAATATTCCCAGTTTGGCGGCGGCGGCTGAAGTAAAAGTATAATGAACGTTTTTCCATAGGCGTACAGGAGGAAAAAATTAGGAGGGCGCCAAAAATTTACCCGACGTTCGTAAAATTCTCCCACGCCTATACGTTACACAACAGCATTTTCGCTATCTGGTGCATTGCAAATAATTTCGGTGATGATGACCGGAGGAGCTGGGACTGACTAATAAGGCCGGAATATAAAGTTAATAAAGAAGAAGTTTAGCACAGCCAAAAGAGCGACAAGAACAACTAAAACTTTAAACTTTAACAACAATTGTTGTAAGAGATGGAAACAACAGCGAGAACGGCAACGAAAGGGCCTTTCTTTCTTCATTTTCAAAATAATTACCGTCATCATCTATTATGTTTACAGAAGACGGTCCTCCCAGAATTGCACGTGAATCTGACGAGAGGGAAACAGTAAATTTTTCTGTTGGTTCATCAACAAAATCATCAATCAGGCCAATTTCAACGAATTTTGGTCCACGTTCACCAGGTTGAAAAGTAACTTCTTTGACAGCACCATCGAAATCTTCTTTGCCAGCCGTATCTGAATTTGGGGTTATGCTGAAAAACGTTATTTGCAATACTTCAATTTTTATGCCTGTTTGATTAAAATTTAGTTGAACGAAGTTAGAATTTTCAACTTTGTCTTATCTAATAGATTCTACTTAAGAATATTTCTTTAAGTTGTGTTGCACTTTCTCTGATTCTGATTTCAGTATTATATTCTGTCTAACGCCTCGTATGCCGTTAAGCCTTGCATAATTTTCATATTCTACACTATTTCTAGTGACTACAACATCAAAGAAACATTAGATTGAGCCATGTAAACGCAAATCTATTTTCACTCACCTTACGATGACAGGTTCAGTGACTTTGCCATCGGTAACAGAAATTCCAACAACAGCATTATCACTTTCTGACGCATTGTAAATAGGTTGAGTGAACTTGATGACCACTGGAGGAGGTGGAACTGAAAAGAAATGTAAATTTATTCAAGAAGAAGTTGAACACAATCTAAAGAGGTAAAAAAGCAAGCCAAGAAGAAGGCGAAGAAGAAGAAAAAGATGAACAACAATAGTGAGAACAAAAACAACGAGAACAACAACAAAGGATAAAGTTAAACGTATCAAAGACAGTCATTTGTGTGTTTACCTACTATTGTGAAACAATAAATTTTCAAAAGAATTACCATCATCTTTTATGTTCACAGAGGAAGGTCCTCCCAGAATTGCATGTGAACTTGACTTGAGGGAAACAGTAAATGTCTCTGTTGGTTCATCCACAGAATCATCAACTAGATCAATTTCAACGAGTATTGGTCCAGTTTCATCAGGTTTAAAAGTAATATATTTGACAGTACTATCGAAATCGTCTTGACTAGCTGTATCTGAATGACCTGAATTCGGGATTATTCTGAAAAAAATATTTTGGTAAATAATTCATTTTCGATTTATAAGCGCTGTTTGGTTAAGGCTTAATAGAGTAAAGTTGTGATTTACGGCTTTATCTTGACATGATATATTTTACCGAAAAACTAATTGGAGAACATGTCTTAGACTTTTAGCGTACTGTCTGGCATGATAAATAGTTAATTTTGGTTGACAGTTTAATATCAATTCAATGCATTTTTCTGGTGGCCATGTAAAGGCAATAATTTTAGCAAGCCACCTAAAAACAAAACTTTCCACCTACCTTACAGTGACAGATTCAGTGACTTTGCCACTTGTAACAGAGATTCCAACAACCGCATTACCACTTTCTGATGCATTGTAAATAGGTTGAGTGAACTTGATAACTGGAGGAGGTGGAGCTAATTAAGAAATAAAAAGCTAGTAAAGAAGAAGTTGTACGCAACAAAACGAACAAACAGCAACAGGAAAAAACCCAACTTGAACAATTAAAAAACAAAAGAACAAGAGCAAGAAAAATTTTTATGCAATAATCAGCGAATACGTAGGAAAATATATTCATTACAACAATGCAATATTCCCAGGATGGCGGCGGCGGCTGAAGTAAAAGTATAATGGACGTTTTTCCATAGGCGTACAGGAGGAAAAAATTAGGAGGGCGGCCATAAATTTACCCGACGTTCGTAAAATTCTCCCACGCCTATACGTTACACAACAGCATTTTCGCTATCTGGTACATTGCAAATAATTTCGGTGATGATGACCGGAGGAGCTGGGACTGACTAATAGGGCCGGAATGTAAAGTTAATAAAGAAGAAGTTTAGCACAGCCAAAAGAGCGACAAGAACAACTAAAACTTTAACAACAATTGTTGTAAGAGATGGAAACAACAGCGAGAACGGCAACGAAAGTGCCTTTCTTTCTTCATTTTCAAAATAATTACCGTCATCATCTATTATGTTTACAGAAGACGGTCCTCCCAGAATTGCACGTGAATCTGACGAGAGGGAAACAGTAAATTTTTCTGTTGGTTCATCAACAAAATCATCAATCAGGCCAATTTCAACGAATTTTGGTCCACGTTCACCAGGTTGAAAAGTAACTTCTTTGACAGCACCATCGAAATCTCCTTTGCCAGCCGTATCTGAATTTGGGGTTATGCTGAAAAACGTTATTTGCAATACTTCAATTTTTATGCCTGTTTGATTAAAATTTAGTTGAACGAAGTTAGAATTTTCAACTTTGTCTTATCTAATAGATTCTACTTAAGAATATTTCTTTAAGTTGTGTTGCACTTTCTCTGATTCTGATTTCAGTATCATATTCTGTCTAACGCCTCGTATGCCGTTAAGCCTTGCATAATTTTCATATTTTACACTATTTCTAGTGACTACAACATCAAAGAAACATTAGATTGAGCCATGTAAACGCAAATCTATTTTCACTCACCTTACGATGACAGGTTCAGTGACTTTGCCATCGGTAACAGAAATTCCAACAACAGCATTATCACTTTCTGACGCATTGTAAATGGGTTGGGTGAACTTGATCACTGGAGGAGGTGGAACTAAAAAGAAATTTAAAGTTAATAAAGAAGAAGTTTTAAACAATAAACAAACAAGAAATTAAATTGATTAAAGAACAAAAGAACAACAAGAGGGAGAGTGCATACCTCCGCCACCGAATAGTTCAGTTACGTATCATGCATAAATTATAATGTGCTAATTACGTATTCAGTTTACTCTACCCGGCACAGCAAGACAAATTTAATTTCTTATCCAATTTTTATCCAAATATAGCCAAAATTTAATCACTTTGCCCTTGGGCAATGCTCACAAATTTTCGTACCTTTGATCTTTTTATAGTTTGATAAGTTACCGTGCGAGAGACAAACACACACAGACACACATACAAACGTTGATAAAGACGAAGAGTAACAACATCGAAAAATACATATTCAAATTAATTACCATCATTATCTATTATGTTAACAGCAGAAGGTCCTCCCAGAATTGCGCGTGAATTTGACGAGAGAGAAAGAGTAAATTTCTCTGTTGGTTCATCATCGGTATCATCAACCAGGCCAATATCAACGAATTTTGGTCCTGTTTCACCAGTTTGAAATGTCACATGCTTGACAGTAACATCAAAATCTTCTTCGCCAGCTGTACCTAGTCTTGGAGTTACGCTGAAAAAAAAATGTCGTAAAGAATGGTATTGGGAAAATAAAAGCATTAAGATTTTTCTTTGATAGACGCTTCCAGTGAAAAACTAATAGTATATCACATAACTTCATCCTTAATACGACTAAGCTCTTTTAATTTATGACCCTGCTATGATATTGAGGTGAACATTCACGAGTGAACAACAGAAAGCAGTTCTCAAGCAAGAGCCACCCACAAGACAAGTTGAAGTATCTCAAACATGAGATCCGGTGTGGATCAGAGATTACTTAATGTGTTCGTTGGTTGACTATAACAAAACGCAGTGCTCTACTAATAAATTCAATTATTTAATCACAAGTTGGCATACCTCACAGTCACTGGTTCGGACACTGCACCATTTGTTACTGAAATTGCAACTGTCTCTTTTCCTTCATTTTCTCTCACGTTGTAAACAGATCGAGTGAAGTTAATTACGACTGTCAATGTGGAAGAGAAAAAATTAAACTAGTTGAATGCAATACAATGATGAGCTAGGTTAGGCATTGGTAGGAAGAACTTTAAAAAGAATACAATGAAATTTGTATTTCAATTATTTTATTCCTACCAACTACTGTATCATAAAAACAAAAATTCTTAAAACAAATTACCATCAACATCTTGTATGTTTACAGCGGAAGATTTCCCAAGAATTGCACGTGATTTTGACGAGAGAGAAACAGTAAATGTTTCTGTTGGTTCAATACTTAAGTCATCAAACAAGTCAATTTCTACAAATTGTGGTCCAGTTTCACCACGTTGAAATGTGATATATTTGACAGTACCATTAAAATCGTCTTCATCAGCTGTATGTCGTCTTGGAGTTATACTGAAATGAAAAATCAAATGGGACATCGTAAAACAAGTTATTGCCTGGGTTTACAGGTAAACTACGTGAAGCGTTCCTCTTTTAAGTTCCTAACTTGATTGCAATTTTCCTCATTACCTTAGCAAATTTGAAAAACTCCCTTGCAAATCCCTTGAGGGAATTTGCAATGTTCAAGAGCCAAATAAATTTTCCTCAGTTC